GTTCGACACGACTGTTTGATGTAGTGCTTTGCTACTGAAGCTTCTCACTAGACTAATAGATTCAGCCGGTGGCAGTGCGGCGGTTTATAGCGACGACGGGCGTCTTGTTACCGCGCGAGTCCGCAGAGCGTTTTCCGTGTGGCCCGTGACCTTCAGTTCCACTCAGCGATGGTGGTAGTAGTAGCAGCAGCAGCAGCAGCAGCAGCAGATCGGACATTACGTAAATCCAAAGTCGCGACGCTTAATTCGTCGACCCAGCGTCGCGACGCTCCGCGGCGGTAACGCGAACAAGAAAATCTCAAATGTCATTCTCTCCCCCCGTTCAGCGATCGCGAATAATTAGAAGAGATCAGAATCTTGGAAAACGAGAAACAATCGTCCGGTTTGTTAAGAAACAAAATTATAGAAAGGAACACACTTCCCTAAATTTCTCAAGAACTCTTCAAGAAGATCAGAGCGTCTTTTTTCAAATATTACGTGATCATAGTTTTTTTTTTCATGTATTTTTTTAAGAAACACTTAAGAAAATTCTACTATCTCTTCACAACTATCTTTTTAGAGTCTTGTTTTTCACGTTTCTTTTTTCTTCTTCAATATTTCCTCCACTAAAATTGTCTTCTCAATTGTCGCTTGTGTTTTTTCAGAAGCGAGTCGAAAAGAAAAAATGGTTTTGTTCCATTGATCGATATCTTAATTCAATACTGCGTCGTACGTTGAAAAATTTCCACCTTGCAGAACGGCGATTGTTTTGCCGAACTATCGGCTTTTCTTATTGTCTCGATGTTGTTTGAAAAATGCAGTATGCTTGTCGTCCTAAATAAACGTTATATCGTTTTCGATAAAAAATAATCAAAACATTTTGAACTTTTTTGGGGGAATTTTAGCACACAAAGATATTCCCAATATATAACGATAATTAATTTTACAAGATGGAACAGCTAATTTTTAAAAATCTCGATTTTTCGAAAAAAACGATCGAGTCCGTATAAAAAAAATACAGAAAAATAGATGGATCTTAAAAAGAATAAACTTAAAGAGCTGTGTAAGCAATAGGAATCGAGATAATGATATCTCTGAATTTATATGTGTGAAGTCGCGACGATGAAGAGACAAAACCTATATTTTTTGCATTAATTTGTATCGTGGATGTAAACTCACTGAAATTACATATGTATGGACCAGATTCACAGATAAGCGCACAATTTTCGAAAGATCGATCGATTCAGAACGATGCTGTGTAAATATGCTGCGCAAGATTATAATCGACAACGCGATGAAGTTATGGGTATATATATCTGGTTCCAAAGTAGTGCAACTACATGTGTGCACCACGTCGTGAGCTGCCCGATCCTCTGAAAAATACAACGCGCATCTCTCCGTGACGTAACCGATCGATCTTCGATTCAATTAAAAAAAAATAATAATAAATAAATAAATAAAACTTTTGAGCGAGAAATTGTTTTAAAGTAATTAACAATAAAAAATCGAATGTCAGTTAAATATTGCACAAATAAAAAAGTATAATTACATAATCGTGAATGCCATCTCTTCAGTTACAACATTAAATCAATCAACTCTTCATGCGCACGCATATTAATTAAACTCGCGATCGCGATTTAAAATTGAAAAACAAAAAATCTATTAATATAAATCTTCTGATAAGAACGTCAAAAAAAAAAAAGATCACGCAACGATCAAACGGCGGTGCTACCTACATAGGTATCGCCCGATTTATCACATCTGACAATCGAATCTGTGTTTAAACGCGCCGGTTCAAACCGATTTGATCCCGACTATTCGAGGCTCCGAAGCTGTTAGGAAACTGTTCCCAAAACCCGGCTGAATTTCGATTCTGACATTTCTTTTACGGAATCGCATATCAGTTGTAAATTCCGTCCCGCGAAAAATCATGTCCCGCGATTACACAACGGGAAAGCTTTTTATCCTATCTTCTCGCTATCACCATGAGAGGGGCGGCATCTTCTCCGAGATCAGAAACACCCTTCGCGATTTCGCGACCGAAATCTGACGCATGATATTCGCGTTTGTGACACACGACAATAAGAAAACAAAACAACAATGCGGAGAATAACACACACGGCCGAGCGAACAATCTCGTCGGCAATGGTGTATGAACAAATTAAATAAACCGCCGATCTATGTAAGAAAGGAGTGTTGCAAACAATCGCGACGAGATTCCGAACAATCGAGCGAGCAACAGGACTCACTGCACGCGACAAGAATCTCGGGAGAACCTGCGACAACCGTATATACGTCAGACTGGCGGAAAGCCACTCGTTTGCCGTCGTAACGACAGGTGTTGTGTTGGCGAACTCGAGGTGGGGTGATCACACAACATACAGGTGGGGGATCGTCGCGGGGACTAAAAGTGGGGTGAAAACCTTCGCCAGGAGGAGTCGACCTCAGTTGCTGCCGCGAGCAGCATCTATATGTCGCAGCGAAGATCCTTGATACCCGCTCGAATCTCTGATGAAGATAATCGGAAATGCATTAGAGATTAGAGTCGGAAAGATTTAATTAACTTCTCGAGAAATGAAAATAAACGACGAGTCTCGCATGTATAAATTTTCTTGAACATCAACTTCAACGGTTGGACTCGTTGTAATGTTACCTTTTAATATTAGTTTTTCTAAATTATATTTAAAAATCAAAACGTTCCTCGATAATCTCCACATTCGGACTGAATTTTTTCAAGCCACCTCCATCTGAGCTCTGGGGCCGGAAGGTCTAATTTATTATTTTTTATCATATTACGGCCGTTCTCCTATTATAAATATATTTAATACACCAACATAAAAAATGATGAATTTTAAGAAAATCGAAGTATTCCTGTATCCCGCAAACAGTAATTTGATCAAATAAAACAGATATACATCAAGAGATGTTAGAATTGTTAAGAAAAAACATTTTGCGTATAAACAGTATCAAGGGTACCGAGTCAATGCATGATATTACATTATCTGATCATTTCCGAAATGTGTGTATAAGTGTTACATTAACTTGTATACGCGGTGTTCTCTACCGTATCACAAGTCCTTGAAACTGATCACTATACAGATATATTCCGTACAAACTTTGCGCATTAAAAATTTATGTTTATCGTATTTCTCTTAAGGCTTCTCGATACTTCCGCGGCCATCTTGGATCGATGACGTCAGAAGCGAGAAAAATACGCGAAAGTTTCGTGCAGTGTGAAAACAAAAAAGAAAACATTTGTGTGTGAAAATAAACAAAAAATTATTTCTGTATAAATGCGCTCAATAGTAAGAGCACATTCGTAATGATAATAAAATATACCGGAAATTTCTTTTGATTCAAATTCCAAACTACGTAATAAAATCGAAATATAAGTTCGTCGCAAGTTTTGATAGCTATCGAATCGCATCTTGATTTTGCGTTTTTTTTTTTACACCAGATCCAAATCATAATCCGAACGATGTGTCCGGTATATTTTACAAGTATTTAGTTACTAAACACTCTTAGTTGCACAAAAATTGCGCACGAAGTTTTTGATATATCATCAAGCCATTTGAAATTGCTTTGTGACTTGCAGACGTGAGTCTATTCGCTTTTACAATTTTTATTTTGCACTTTATTTCGGTTTTCTTTTCTCATCAAAGTCTGAAACAAACATATCTATCTTATTCTATAAGTGCAAAAAATATAAGCGTGGAAGATCTCGCGTCTATTAGTTCTCGTGACAACCGACGTTGCTTACTGTCAAATCGGACTTGACGCTCAAGTATCAAAAAGCCTTAAAAACAGTAGTTATGTTTGCATTTACTTTTCTTTCTTTCTTGTCTATTTTTTAAGAAAAAAATTATAATCTTCGTTACGTTAAATACACAATAATCAATGCACGATAATCGATGTGATTCTGAAGAGCTTCAATTAGCATCAGCGAGTATCAACTGCGATTATCATTATTAAAAAAACAAGAAAATAATTGATCCTTAATCTCTAAGGAAACTGATAAGTGTCATTGTTGTGAATGTCATGAGATTCTGAATATATCTAGAGTTACTGTGCACTTTACTGAAATTGAAATACACAAAATGATTTAGATGTTATCGATAAGAAAGATACATAATAAAACGATAAATTGACAGCGCTAAAAAATAAAGTAAAACTGACGAAAAAATTGAAAAAATTAGCAACTTAGTTAACAAATTAATATAAAGTTATTAAAATAAATTTTTTTAATCATGATTAAGATAAACTCTTATCGGTGATCATATTTAATTTATCATATTAATTTATCAAGCGATTATGAGAGCAAGATCATTAGTTTAATTAATTATAAAACGTACATTAAAGTTTATTTTTGTAAATCGAAACGTATATATAAAAATTTGTTTAGAAAAAAAAAACAGAAAAAACCGTTAAAGAAAATCGTTATAGTAACAAATCGTACAATAAAATTGTTCAGATCTCCAATATTTGCACACAGAAAATATTGTGAATAGTATTAATGGCAATATTATACGTGATCGCAAGGTAAAATAAAAATAAAAAAACTAGAGATACATTTATAATGAGTTGCGCAATTGTAACGCGCTTGTAACGTGCTGCAGCATTTTAAATATTAATTATTGTTAAGTGTTAATATATCATATAGGAATTTAAATGTCCAGCTTTCTGTTACAACGCTGGTCAGGTTATTTTTGTTTTTTTTAAATTATTTTACAAAAAAAAATTTCCAAGACTATACACAAAACGTATACTCACTTGCTGTACTGTCGATCGACTGTCGCTTTCGTGCTCGGTACTTACGATAAAAGCGATAATACTTTCAGGCGAAATTGCGCATACGTTTGAATTCGCGTAATTACTTCGTGCCAATCATGTAACGGAGTGTTCTTGGGACTTAAAAAAAAAAAAAATATATATGTATATATATATATACATATATATATAAAGTTTCTCAAGGTTGTTAACAACAATTCATACGTTCTATTTATAGGATTACAGCCAGTATGTTCGTTGGCTCTCTTTCAGGAATATACAAGTTCCAAAATTTATTATATATAACAACATAATAATCATCATCATATACTTGAATAAAATACTGTAACTACATTCTCTTAATGTGACGAACGCGTGAATAATCAAATAGTCTCAAGTAATTCTCGGGATGTACACGTACGATGAAGTTACCTATTTAAACTTTCTCAATTTACATGAAGCTTAAATTATACATACATACATACACTCATGGAATTCCGATGAGTACACTTCGCACAAAAATATGTTACAAAAACTCATAACTATTTATATTTACATTTAATTATCTTTTTTCATTCGGTTCGACGTCATCCTATAGATAATAGAATCCCGTCCTGGATCCATATTGGCGATGGCGACTGCAAATATTTGAGATAATACATTTTTATGTTTCTTTCTTGCGAAAATGCGACGCGTCATGAGATTTTTTGTCCAAAACAAATACATACTACAAACAGCTAAGAGCGAGAAGAAGAAAGCGATGCCAAACCACAAAAGGATGTTGAAGATGACAGGATAGATCTCCGAATAAGTTTTTGCGCGGCCCGAAAATGGAGGCTGAAAACAGAAAGGTCGATGTAACGAGGGAATAATTATGATTTCTCGCCTTCGGACTTACGAAGTTTCTTTCTGCGAATCCTTTGTAGTACTTGCTAAATGTACTAATAGAATTTTTCTACATTTATCAACAATTCGCGCAAACGGATAAGGCTGAAAAATTTAGCATAATTTATTCAAATATTAACGTCTCTAAAAAATCATCTTGATAATCAGCATACACAAAGAGTTTCAAATATTCTCGTCAACAAGATTTGCTTTTGATATTATTTGCTTTCTCTAAATTGGCTAATTAAATATTTCTTTTAACGAAAACTTTTTGCGTCACAAAAGTTATTATTTGTATAGATTTATTATGAGAATAAAATGTACGCGCATGCACAAATCGAATACAGAAAATTTTCATGCAAAAATAATTCTGCACCTAAGAAGACAAAACCAGTTTGAGATTAATTTTACTCTATGTAACACCTTTTCTTCTGTTTTCATACATCAGTATCTATTAACGATAATGAAGTATCTCTTGAAAAAAAAAAAAAAAAACAAATGTCTAAGATCTTGTATTATTTTGCTTCTCAGGCACAAAATCGACACAAACTCATTATCTAAACTTCTAAGCTGCCTAATTAAAGAAATCACTATAATTAAGCGTCATTCGCATAAGCATTAATAAATATATATCGACATAACAATTATATATTCAAATAAACAAAATTTGAAAAATCTCTATGAAATAGAAGCTGACTAAGAATAAGATGAGTAGAAGAAAAAATTCTCAACACATCACTCGACGTTTACTGCGACGAATATTTCGAGTAAACACTAAATTATAAAGTATACACATCGCCGTCTTCCTATAGAAAATCAGGTGCTCTAATATTCTGGCAAAGTCTGGCAGAATGAAAACAACTGAAGGATTCAGAAAACGAACTTGATAAGTCGCATTTCTTTGTATTGTATTCACGCAACACGATCAAAATGTTGAAGATTGATAACAGAACGAAAAACAAAAAAAAACAAACAAACAAACAAAAAAAGACTCATCCGGTTTTTCTCCGAACCCTTCAACTGCGATGCATGTTAATATGTTTGCGATACCTGTCCTGGTATTGTCTGTGTGTTAGTATTTATCTCATTCTCCTTATTAACTGAGTTCAGGTCGGACTTTTCCGACGTCGAGCTATCCTGAACGTTCATGTGTTCAGTAGTGCTGTCAATAGTGTCGGACTCAGTACTACTCATTTTATTTGTCTCCTCTCCTTCCTTATTACTTTGCTCGTCTGGTTCGTCTCGCTACAATCAGTGGTTGTTTAGTATCTCAGTAAAATGATGAAAACCCCACCAGCCTTTCAAGACTTTAGAACGTCATATAGGACTTAATACACACTTCGCAAGTACTTAAATTACACCAATACTGAGTTCTCCGAAGTTTTTAAGATGTCGTATATCTCAAGGATATGGCGAGTATTTGTAAATTTTTTACTCGTACTGAAACTATGAATCTTATCAGATCCCAAGGATAGTAAAGTTTCGAGAAGATCATATCTGACTATCTAAATTCACCGATAGTAACCAAACAACAAAGGTGAATCGAATACAAATCGGCCCAAGTTGACGATATGTTTTGTAAGCTCGTTGATCAGAGTAATCAGAGTATAATTCGGTTGTGTTCGCGAAATTCATGCAAAAAGCTATCTCTAAATCGGAAGAAACACTCTCAATCAAGTAATAGTCCATGCAATGCGATTCGACACGGTACCTTGACAAAATTATTATCGTTAATGTCTGAACTAATTGATGTTCCCTTGGCATTATCGGTCGATTTAACACTGTTAGATTTATAAGCCTATAAAATATCCCGTAACAATTAAAAATAGTAGAGATAGATTAATTCAAGCAAATATCGTGGCAATTATTTTTTGTCTCCAATATAATCAGAATGTTCAAAGTATTGATTAAAGTAATAAAGTATTGATTATTATATAACTTTCTCTACATTTAATGATTATTTTCAGTCATTCATTCTCTTTTGTGTTCTATTAATTCTTGTATCATATAAAATAAACATTTATAAGAATTTGAACTAATCAATGGATTTATATACATTTGTAAAAAAAAGAGATGTATACATATATAGAACACTTATTTGAAAAATAAATTGAAAAAAATTCACAGTTTTATACATATTTACAAACATATTTTTTGTCAAAAGAATATATGATGAAAACAATAAAAATATAATATTCTGCAAAAAATAAATATCTGGTGAATTTTTATAATCACATATTCTTATACCTCAACAAATCCTCTTTGTTTTGTTATCATTATGTATCGATAGTCTTCTGATAAGTCTCTTTTAATATTATTTCCAAATGTTTTTTTTTTCAAGCAACAAATATTTTTACTTTCATGTTTAAAATATAATAGAAAAATAATAAGTGAGATAAATAAAATATTATTGGATATTAAATGACACACTCACTTTCACATCTCTGCGCTGTCTCTCAAGAAGTACAGACCGCGTGTTTCTCAACCTGCTAGCGTCATTCGTGAATACTGCGACGACAACCTACAAAACAGGTATATAATCTATTCAAAAGTAATTAAACTTCAGTATTCTTCCTCGTGAAAACTTATAATAGTAGAGAAGTGACCAATTCGAGGCAATAACCAGATCTTTGTGTCAATAAACCTCTTAATTTTAAAAAACTTGACAAACGTTACTGAGTACACTGAAGAAGACTCACATTAGGGTCAAAACGGTTGTCAAGTTTTTTAAAATAAAGAAGTTTATTGACACAAAGATCTGGTTATTGTCTCGAATTGGTCACTTCTCTACTATTATAACTATTCAAAAGTATTTTAAACACATACGTAATAATACGACAAATATGAAATTATGGCTCGAAAATAAGATTGAACGTAAAACGCATATACCTTGCCGTCGTAAGTGTTTACGAAGGCCTTAGAAACATGTTCCATTGCCTCGTTCAGCAATGTGTACGCTTCTACGACTGGCGCGGAGGAGTTCCCGTGAAGGTCCAGAATAGGTCTGAGCGCCGACACAACTAGCCAATAGACATCAGTGCCAGAATCGTGCTTCTTTGCAGAAGACGCGTTATCAGCGATAGCATGAAGGAGTTGTATCTCCTCAACGAACCTGCGATCTTCTTCTACTTCGGGACTCAGAGATACCAATTTCTCCATACTGGCTGGTTTGAGTTCACCAAGAGCTGACTGACCCAGCTGCATAGAAAAGATTTTATATATTGATTTGATTCCCACAATCTTGTTGCTATAGTTTTCTCTATTTAATTCTATACTTACAGCGTCAACTCCATCGCTCAGATTAATTCTGACCAATGTGTTATCGTTACTTCGCTCCTCAATTCTACTTCTGATTGCTTGCCAAGTAGTCTCCTCCACTTCGTCAACGATCAGAGGATATGTGACTTTGATTTTGTCACTTAAAATCGGTAAAGATTCCATTCCATCAACCGCTATAACGACCAATGCCTGGGGCATTGAAAATGGATCCCATATAGCAATACTGTGCTCCGCATCTCTCTGCAATATATATGATACAAATTTTTAGTTAATTATTGTATTATTACAAACTGTTCTGTTTATTTCATCAACAAGTTTTATAACCACTCTGTTATACAATATTCAAAAATATTTGTACCTGCTTTCCCGTGTAACCAAGAGCCGCGGACAATATTTCCTTGAGACTGCTTTGCTCGATCCATTTATCTCCATTTACGGTAAATTCTACACTGTCGGGTGAATGAAGCACGATGAATTCGCCGATTGCATGGGAACGGCCGTGTACTGAAACCAAATATAATATTTCTGAAACGTACAATTGTTTTATATATTTTGGAAAATTTGACAGTAGAGAAAGAGAAAAACATCTTGTCGCAAAACCCCAGAAATTGCGATTGCGCGAAAACTGAAATGTTTCGGAAAAAAAAAAGTTCTTGAGAGAATTTTTCAAAAATAAGAAGTTACCTGCTGTGGCGAGAACAGCGAGAAGAAGCGACAATTGTCGGATCATCGTCGCACGAAGAGAAATTCGAGAGACACTCCTTCGATCAATTTCGGACGCGATCATGTGATCACCTCTTTAGTGTGATCACGTCAAATCACATGTGATAAGAAAAGTCAACCACCACACTATACAGATAAATAAAAAGTACCTAAATCTCGCGAAAATATAAAGTACCTAGATTGTGAATGAATCATGGCGGCATAGTAAACTCGATTGGCTGCGCGCGCAACTTCTATCGAATAGAACGCTCAGTCAACAAATATTGATCAATGAAGCCGTTCGGGTGTTGTAGTAACAATAACCGGATTTGCTATTGTTTGGATAAGAACGGAAGGTCTGTTCTTTTGACCTGAACTAGCTACACTATTTCAGATTTTATCTTTCTTTTTCCAATGTCGAGTGAAAAAGATAAACTCTGAACTAGTGCAGCCAGTTCAGGTAAACAAAATAGACCTAGAGAGAAACCTGAGCCCCTTGCACAATGAAAAGAAAGCGATAGCAGAGAGAAGCATGAGAGCGGCTACGGTCATAAAGCCTGTTTTACATTGATCGCAAGAAACAGGTCTGGTAGAATTGACTAATCGTATTGATCAAATCAGTCAATTGACCAGCGTGATTGATCAATTCTACGTAATCACGTGACCGAAGTCAGTAACACCAGAGAGAAGCCTGAGAGCGGCCAGGTCCATAAGAGAATGTGTAATCACCTTTCCGCCCCGTAAACTAGCGCATGTCCACGGGTGGTACACATTGGAACTACGTAGCCAGTCCACGAGCGACACGTCGGTGCGCTATGTCCACAGCGTGCGGTTCTATTCTGTGCTATGTGCACGAGTTTAAATGGTCACTTTCTTTAAGTGTGTGAGTATATTCACAAAAGCGTGAATTTGATTTATTTCAAGAATTAAAATAGCCGATTTGTGAACTCAGGAAGAAGAACAAGAAGGAATGGAAAATATACAAATTTGCAACTTCCCACACAACATACACGTAATTGTCAACAAAGGAATATTTTTAAGCGAGCAGCATCAGAATTCGTAGAATGTACTCAGGTACCATCTCCTTTATCATCATTTGCTGCTATTTGCTTTTATTTTTTTACAAACGCTACATATATATATATAGTTACATTACAAAGTAAAAATAATAAAATACGTACATTATTTAAAATTGGTTTGACGGCACACAAATATATGTGTGTCTGAAAAGTTGCATTTTCAAAAAATATATCTTTTACTGGTGTATTACAATTTATCAGAGTGTGTTACAATTTTTGAGTTTTACAATTTTACAAGTTTTTTACATATACATCGATACAATGAAGTACATACATAATAAATACGAACCACACATGGCAATATTTCTGGCAAAATTACACTTATTGTATGCTATATATTTCATCGCACATTAAATTCTCGATATAAATTTCATTTACTGATGTTTTACAATTCGAATTCTTATTATTGAAGTCTTATATATAGTTTTTACATACAATAAATGTAACCTTACTTTACATAAACGAAATTTAATCTTACATTTACATGCATATGCAGTGATTCATATTAATCAGTGCATTTGCATTTTTCCTAATTTTTAAACCTGGTATATCTTACTCTAAACATCTATCTTAAACATTACTAGCCTTGTTAATCAGGATTAAGGCTGCATGGCACATGCCTTGATCCTAATCTTACATGTTTATTCCTACCTATATCCGCGGTCTAGTACACACATTTCCTACCTACTCGATTAAAAACATTTCCTACCTACCCGGTCTAACATATTTTCTACAAGAGCTTGTAGATCCCTACCTACACAGTTTTAGAAAGATTTAAAACCTATCACTATTGTAGATCCCTACCTACACAATTTTAGAAAGATTTAGAACCTCTCACTATTGTAGATCCCTACCTACACCGTTTTAGAAAGATTTAAAACCTATCAATATTTTACGCGAGGGGGG